GCCCGGGCCGCCCTCCCTCTCGCCTGGCCTCCCTCCCTCCCTCTCTCTGGCCTGCCCGGCGGAGTCGCGATAGCGGCCCCGCTCCTCCAGCCGCTCGCCGGCCGCAAGGGCTCGTCCCGAGCCTTCAGGCGCAAAGGAGTAACCACCCGGTGAAACTCTTCGGGTCGAGGCGGTGGTGGTCAGACTGCTGTGGTTTGCCTGCCCTGTCTCTCCTCCGACTGAGATACACTTTCAGAGGCTGTAACGAAAGCGATTCATGTGCATACCCTGGTCTAAACGGACACGTGCATCTTCTGATGTCTGCCTAAGCGTCTCTCTGCCACTTGAGTCGCCCTGTTCAAATCGTAGCAAAGCACAGGGTGTTTGCGGAATGGGAGTTGTACGGACAAGCCTGTCTACTGGGAGCACGGACTGGTGGCTTAGCCTCAACAGCCTGAGTGCAAATGCTTGCTTAAGTAATGTTTTGCCTTGGAAATTTTTCATTCTCTCTTCATAATTTTTTTTTGCCTTCTTATTTTTGGGGCAGTGTTGAGGAGTAAAAGCAGCCCAGAGAGTAAGGAGTTGCAAGGAATAGAAAGACTGTAAGATATATTCCTTCTTTTTCAGGTCTCTCACCCTTAGAGAGAAGGATGAGAATACTATGAGTACTTAGAGTAATACAGTTGTCTGTAAATAAAAGACAATTTCTTTTCAGGGGTCGTCTATTACCTGAAGCACTACCGAAGGGCAGGTTATTTTACAAATTGTAACGGTTAGGGTAAAAGAATGAAAATGGGGCATCTGGTCATGTCTCTGGCAGACATCTGCTGTCTACTTTTAAAAAAGAAACTTAAACGGAGGGTAGATTTCTTACTTCTCTGAGATCCTTCCCTGGAAGGAGTGCTTTCCTGTTGCCTGCCCTGCTGCCTGCCTTGTGCTGTGCCTAACACTGTGGACACACGCCAAGGGATGGGTGGCTGACTTGTTGTTCTTCATGCCCGTCTCCTTTGTTAATACAGCTGGGTGTTGGCTTTTATTTGGATGTAAGTGTGGGAAGAGACTGAGCCTATCATCTCATTTCACATCAAATGGCCAATTTGGGTCAATTCCTCATGTTTCGTTGTGATTTTTGTATTCTTCATACATTTTTTTCCTGAAATTTTCAGCTGCATTTGTTTTAGAAAATGTTTATTTCTAGTTTTTTGAAATGCAGAGGAATGCTTTGGTAGCAAGGTTTCCTTCTTTTGGTAAACTGGTAAAATTATTTTCACTGTTAAAAGAAAAAGCTGTAAGAGAACGTGAACATTTAATGTGTCATCTATTAACTGTATCACACAGTGAATGAACTAGGGGACTGAATACTAAAAGCAAGCACAAATATTAGCTGTGGTATGCATTAGGCAGAGTCCCAGCTGCCACCTGGCTTTGCTTATATAGTAGTGGTGGAAGAAGCCAAGCTGAAAGAAGCTCAAAAAAAAAGGCTACAGGTCTGGCTGGGGTGGTTGAAACTGGAGGGTAAGGAAAATGGTTCTTCACTGGGGCTGTTGGGATGATGTTAAGGGTGTTGGGATACTGGAAGGATAGCGAATATGGAGATCTGCGAAGAGACTACTGTGGTGAGAGGGCTGATGCGATATATAATATAAGCAGGGCAGAAGAGATACTGTGGGATGACACAATTGTCCTGGTCCAGACACCACTGCATCTTTCCCCCACTTCCTACCTCTGCTTTGTAGGGTGGGCACCCAACCTCCCTGGAGAGAGCAGAAGCAACTCCTTCAGGCTGCTGAGGTACAGAGAAGCTGAGGTCTATCAAAAGCCATGAAGAAACCACTGCTGCTGGCTAGGAGAGGCAGCCTTCCCCAGCAGCTGCTGTGCTTCTCTCCCCTCTGGGATGGGAAGGAAGGGAGGCCAAGGGAGGGGAAGATGGCTGGACCCCATCAGCCCTGTGTCACGGTGCTAAGTCACTAAAGGTGTTTTTCTACCTCTATAGAGCACCTCTGTGCTTGGGAGCTGGTACCCTAGAGGGTGAAACAACCGGGCGCAGATAAGAAGAACTTCAAATATGTAACTATATACATAAATATGTGTGTGCATATATATGTACGTTATATATAGTGTGTATCTATAGCTATATATATAGTTAACCCCTTTGCCCCCAAACTAGTCATTGTAAGCCAGTCTCAGAGCGTCCAAGAGTGTGGCAGTCACATTTTGTAATGCTCAGTAGCAGCAATGAGGCAAATGGGACTGTGCCCATCTAATTGGGACTGCACACCAACATGTCACGATGCAGAGGAGGGTAAGTCAGGGCTATTCCTGTGCCTGGTTACCTTCAGGCACAGCTTCTGCCTTAAGCCCTAACCAGGGCCTTCTGAGGAACCTGCGGCTATATATTTAATATACCATTTGGACAGTTTCAAATAATCCACTTATGTCAAACACTGAATGTACAAAGCATGCCATAAAGGAAAAGCAAAATTGATAGAAAACTATATAAAATATTTGTCAAGGTCCTTAAGTTGCTTGGGTCATGGTAATACAGATATCAGATTTATATATTCTAATGTAGATATGTACAACCATACAGTTTCAGGAACGGTAATTTCGTTACCGGCTGCAGGACACTACAGAGGACTTGTGTTATATCCACATTACAGGCAAAATAAAGAACACACAACTAACACATTGAAACAGACCTTTATTTTAATACTGTTTTCAGTGATAAAGTTCTATGTGATAGACACAGATGTTGGTTGATAGGTAAATTAAAACTTTTCTGGGGTGGTGATATACCACAAATTCACACTTTCACAATAATAAATGAAAACACTTCAGAGATGAGCGAGAAGTCCATTACACAGAAGTGTGGAAAGGATGCAAATTGAAGTTAAATGTGCTGATCTAGTGGAGGGAATTTTAAAATTTGTCCTGGAAGCTATATTCCAGTGCTAGCTCAGAAATACAGAAGTCACTCAAGCATCCAGGCAGGTGAAAAACACTGTCTAAAAAGTCAACAGATTATTGATTGTGTTACCATTAGGGGTGGTGGTGTACTCAGCAATGAGAGGCCACGTTGGATGACTGCTCTGTGCTGCTTTAGAGAGGTAAACACTGAGGGCCCCCAAATTCAACTACTATCCATCTTATATTGAGCTGTTTGGCAGCTAACAGAGCCATAACTTCCGTTAAAACCAGTTCCAACCTCTTTTTTTGCCTCATGCTCACCAATTTGGTGACATTCACCACCTGGCCTCAGATCTGTGAAGGCTATGTGTTATCAGTGCCCAGGCAAGGCAATGTCTGTAGAGGGGATGGAAAGAAGAAGGAAGGACTGCAAGGGTTTGGCAAGCAAAGAAAGGGACCTACTGGAAAGGAAAGGGAGAAAGGGGGGACTGTAAGCTGAGACATTCAAATTTAAAAAGAACAGGGGTTGGACTCATCTGGCAACCCCTGCACCCCTGCAAACCCACAGGTCATGTCAACAGAGGACTCCTGACCTCAGAAATTTGGCACATCCCAAGGCCAAGACAAGGTGACCGGGTCCCTTCGCAGAGCTGGGCAAGGGCTCCCCCATGACACAGCTGTGGGCAGAGGTTCTGTGTTGTGTGTTGGTGTCAGTTGCCCATGGCAACCCTTCAGTTGCCTCTTGGGTCACCCACAGACCTGCAGATCAGTGGAGAACGGGCTCTGCTCAACAGCTAGGATCGGCAGGGGGAGCTGTGAACAGTCGGACTTGCTGCTTAGGAAGTCCCCGACCAAGGTACGGACACTGACCCTCTCTCCAGGTTTTCTCCAGAGCATAGAGATCCTCAACAGCTGACTGCAGTCATGTCCAGTGACAGTTCAACCAACACAACCCGAGACTCCACTGATGGAAATCAAAAGGCTGCCCCCACATCTCAGCTGTATGAGGACGTTTACTTCCTCCCCCAGAGTTTTGCTTCTGAATCAAAACCCTGCTGTTGGGATAAAAAGTCTTCTGCAAGCTTTGGGGGGAGGTTGTCGTGCCACCTTGCTCTTAGGGTGACAGAGGGAAATGCTGCCCTTGACAGGGGAGGTAACTAATGAGGCAAGGACATGCAGGAACAGCCTTGATGTTCAGGAGAGACTCTTTAAGGTCTACAGTGTTCAGCCAGCTGTTGACAAAAATTTCCTCACTGTGGAAGGGCTGAGGAGGATTCATGGTGAGGAGTACCCACCCAGCTTGGTGCCAGTCCTTCCACTGTGCTGATCTTTCCTTTGCCTTCAAACTCAAACCTCGGTTACCTTCCAAAATTACATCCAGAAACAAAAAGATTCAGGGATATTAACACCAATGTTACCAATGGTTGGATGGGAGCAGGGTTTGGCTGCTAGCATCTTTATCAGTTAAGCTTGTGGAAGATATTACTTCCCATTCCACCTCTCAGTAGAAGAGACATCTCCTTTGTCTATCTGCTTGCTGGATTTATGTCAAGTCAAGGCAGCAGGGACACCGTTGGTCTGGGCGTTTGCAACTTCCACGCACACCAGGAAGTACAGCTCATTGCTGGGATCAGTGGGGCATATTCCACTCATGCAGTTTGCAGGTCACCAGCAGTCTCTAACTGTGAAAGGCACATTTATCTTTCAGAGGACAGAAGTGTCTGTCCTAAAATAGTCAGGCCATTCATAAATATCTGCAGGAAACTTGATGGCCTCTGCTGTACCAGATAGTCTCACCGTAGATTTCTGACTGTTTCTCTGAAATCTCCTACCTTACTTATGGTACCTACTACCATATACAGTATGTTAACTACTTAAAGTTACCTTTCACTGGTTAAGGTAGGTTTTTCACACATACTTGTTAAATATAACCTTTTCTCTTCTCTCTGTATGCAGCCTGAGCAAAAGAGGTGGCCATGTTTGCCCACATGGATAACAGCAGCGGTCCTTTTGTTCTCCCTACCTTATTGCTTTCACAGCAGAACAAGAACTACTCCGAAACCTCCATCCCTCCTGTTGGCTACGAGATGATGGAATCGCCCATAGGACCCAGCTCAAGCAGGAACCACACTATCTTGCAGTATGAACTGAGGCCGAGGGAAATTGCAGCAGCCACCATGGTTTTGGGAATGTTGTGGCTGGTTTCCATTTTTGGAAACTCCCTCGTTTGCTTAGTGATCCACAGGAGCAGGAGGACACAATCCACCACCAACTACTTTGTTGTCTCCATGGCTTGTGGAGACCTTCTCATCAGCGTCACAAGTGTGCCCTTCGTGCTGCTCCAGTTTACCTGGGGCAGGTGGATGCTGGGGAATGTGATGTGCAAGCTGGTAAGGTATGTACAGTACCTCACTCCTGGAGTCCAGATCTATGTGCTCCTCTCAATATGCGTGGATCGATTCTACACTATCGTCTACCCCCTGAGCTTCAAAGTGTCCAGGGAGAAAGCCAAGAAAATGATTCTGGCCTCTTGGCTTTTTGATGCTGTCTTTGCATCACCAGCTTTTTTTTTCTATGGCTCCAACAGGGATGACCACTGCAACTTTTTTCTCCCCAATTCTTGGGAAGGAGTCATCTACAGTATCATCCACCTCTTGGTGGTGTTTTTGATCCCATCCCTCCTCATTATCCTCTTCTACCAGAAAGTTGTCAAGTACATTTGGAGAATAGGCACCGATGGCATGACTGTCAGAAGGACGATGAATATTGTCCCAAGAACAAAGGTGAAAACCATCAAGATGTTCTTAATGTTAAACTCAGTGTTTCTCCTGTCCTGGCTACCTTTTTATGTGGTACAGCTGTGGCACCCGCAGGAAACAGACTACAGAAAGAGCTCCTTGGTTTTCCTGGCCATCACTTGCATCTCTTTCAGTTCTTCAGCCTCTAAGCCAACCCTCTACTCAGTGTACAATGCAAACTTCAGAAGAGGGATGAAAGAAACTTGTTGCATGTCCGCCATGAAATGCTACAGAAGCAACGCGTACACCATCACCACCAGTTCCAGGATAGCAAAAAAAAACCACGTTGGGATCGCAGAAATCCCAGCTCCGGCCAAACCTGTCACCAAAGACTCCATCTATGACGCTTTTAACAGAGAAGCAAAGGAAAAAAAGCTTGCCTGGCCTATTCAGTCTAATCCCCCAAATACATTTGTCTAGTTGGCTTCATTGCTTTGAAAAATTACGATGTACCCCCAGAACAAAGAGCTTTCTCTCAGATTTGAACCAATGTATATTTACATCTTTTTAACACAACTTTTAGGGGAAAAAAAAAGAAAAGATGCTTTATTTTATTAAATGCGTTGATTTTGACACATCCAGCCTATTTCATTTCAGTTACCTCCTGCTTTGTGGAACTAGTCTCCCTGAATCACCAGCATAATATTCTTACAAAACAGAAAAGCTCTTACACTGTCACGTGTACGTAGGGAAAAAGGGAAAGGAAAACCACTGATTTTTATAATCCTTGTACATTGGCCACCAGGTATAAATGCATAAATCCACCCAAAGCCATCTATACTTCCTTTCATTATATCGCTGTGAATACTATTGCACCGGGGTTTTCCTTCTTGTTCAGACCTCACGGGTAAGATGTCCATACGCAGACAATGCTGGCATAACTCTGAGCCCACTGACACCAGTGTTAAAATTCCCACTGCACCGGTAGGGCCGGCGTCAGGCCAGCGCTGAATGCCTTTGCATCTTTGGTGTTGCACCTCTCCAGAGGTCTCATGGTCCAAACCACCTGAGAAAAGTCCTCCCCACCTCCTCTCGAGCTGCTTCTAAACCCAGCCTGGTGCACCCACCCACAAACCAGGAGTGCGCACAGCCTGGGAGAAGACCTGCTGATCAAAAGGGGTCACAGCTGTACCAGGCACTCCTCACCTGTTAAATTCAGTGTGTCTCCTGGCC